GCACGTTTCGTTCTATACCTGTGAATGCTGGTGTTCCCCAAGGTTACGTACTTTCTCTCACACTAGTCCGGATTGTCAGTTATGAACTGTTGTCAACTTTCATTTCTATTCATCTCTTTGTCCCGCATACCATCTCACACAAATATAGGCGCTAGGAGTAATTTGCTTATTTACAAAGGTGGTTTTCGTAGTGACCTGACTAACTTCCTTTCTCCTTTCTGTATTGTCTAAAGTCATGAACTCCAATGTTGCGGATCTTGTGATAGGTAATTTGGAAAACTAACACGTATCATCTCCATCCCAACATGAATTTTGGTAGGGACGTAATCGCACATCACTAATTTCCCTCTGGCCCTAGAGAAATAAACAAACGTAGTTGACCACGGTGAAACAGTGAATGCAATCTACTTGGATTCTTCCAAAACATTTGATGGTGTGAAGCACGAAACACTGCTATGGAAATTCTCCAGTCGCAGAATCTGTGGACTTGGTTTGATCGAATAGTTAAGCAACGTACCATGACAGTTCGCGTTTCCGATTCACTCACTGGTCCCAATAGCGTAGTCCAAGAGATTCCACAGGGGCCCGTACTTGTTTTTCTCCTTTTTGTAGACAATCCACCGAACATCCTAGGACTACCAACAATGCTTGCAACTGCTACCAAAATCTGGAATACAGTAGCAAAATCTGAGAGCCCATTAGCACTTAAGGGAACGCTCAGCGCAACTCATCATTGGTTGACCGAGAATGACATTGAGTTTAATGCGTCGAAATATACGGCTATGTCACTACTCTATACAAACCGGTTGAATTTGATGTTGAATAACTGTTGCTCGGGATTCGGATGCTGTTCCAGCTTGGAGGACCCTATAAAACCAACATCAAAATCGGTTTCCGTGCAACATGTCTCAAATGAGAAGAGTTTAGATGTCGTCATTCAAGAATAATTAATCTGTTCAGTTAACTGTTCTAGGGCTTTTTCCGTAGTTCGAAGGCAGAGCAGTCTACTTAAGCGTCTCTTTAATTCTACCCGATATTGTTTCTGTTTGTTATCAGCCTCTATTCAGTGTTTTAGTAGCTGTCACCGGCGTGCTTTGGACCCTATGGTCCAAGGTTCAAGCCCCGCCATCACCACCCAACTTTGATGGTATTCAGATTTGCTGTCGTCCGGCTCAATACCACGCCTAGCCTATCGGGGCCTTATGTGGTTCGCCATTCCAAGTCCCGGGGCTTAGGTTGCCGGTTACCATCACTGAACAGCAGGTCCCCGTGACTATGGGGTTCTCCCCGTCTGCTGTTCATCACACATGGATGTGTCATAAAAAAAATTAAGTGTGGGTATTGAAGCCTGAAATCCATGGCTACAACTCGATCGCAAGGTTTAAGAACGTTCACAAAGAATGATCATCAAGATGACTAAGGGACTGCATTCCTATACTTATGTGGAAACACTGCCGTCATTGTTTGTGCACTCCACTCACTATCTGGCAATTCGAGGAGAGTTGATTTCGCTGTATCAAATACTACCGAAACCCAACCATCTACCTTGTTCACTGTTCACGTTGTCGCTCAACAGTTGTCTTATTCAACATTCGTTCAAGTTGGTGCTCTAAAAATGTCGACCCTAATACTGGCGTCGTTCCTTTGACCTCAGGATGTGCAGTATTTTAATTTTTTATTGCAATGAGTTACAGTAGAAGGGAAAAGCACCATAGATAAAGTATACTGTAGAAGACAGAGTAGGTGAACATTCACACAAGAGCTAGTTTATTGATTCGGCGTTTATAGAGTGCAAGGTTGTAGGTTTGAAGAAAGAAAGTGGGAGGGTGTTCCACAACTTCGCAGTACGGTGAAAAGAGAAGAGAGATACGACACTTGGTGACCGACATCTGATAAGCTTGACTAGATGCCTGGGCACGGGATTGGCGGGCAATAGTTACAGGAAGAAGCATTCCCGAGGCGAGCTCCGACGAACAAAACCCAAAATAGTAACGGACCGACGATAGGCTAGTGACTGCAGACTGGATTTCAGGGAGGAGTCATCAGTCACACGGATGACCTTTCGTAAAACACGATCAAGTGGAGAAAGAGAAGACGAAGTCCCATCCCACACATGACTGCAGTATTCAAGATCGGGACGGATTTGAGCTTTGTACAGTGAAAGATGAGCTGGGAAGAAGAATCGTCTGACGCGGAATAAAAATCAACCTTGCTCGTGGCACGAGAAGCGTGTATTTGAAATTACCTACCATCACTCGTTTTTTTATACACCCACAATTGATTCCTTTAAACACAGGCTGTACTCACTGGCATGTCTAACACTTTGGCATCCATGAAAATGTATAAATCTTCGAAACTGATATTTCTCATAGATGAGACTGTGTACAGAGTCTATCCTCTCTCTTCATCTTAGCAATCGATTCGTCTATGACAGAAATACAATATGACACGAAAATCGACGGTTTGTTAGCGCCCTCGTAGTAAAACTTTGAATTAAACTCCTCTGCCCGGTCCGCTAACTGCAGCATTGGCAATGTTCGCCACTCCCTCGCAGTCTTCCTTATCCCGATATTGGTCTTTTTTCTGTGTAGGGCTGTCGCAATCTTGTTTTGCGTAAAATCACCCCTGTTCGGGGTTTCTCTCAAACCAGAATCTTTCGTCCTCACCAGCGATTTCGATTCAATTATTCTGCGTTCCAGATTCAGGCTACTTATGGAACCTATGCTTATCTTGATCTCTCTTCTTACCAACATGCATGTTTTGACTTGTTTCTCGTGTCGTGCGCAAGATCGTCTTTCTATTCCGTGTCAAATGTTTCTTCCCTTCCAATCACCTCTTCTCTGTTGAGAAAATTCAGATTCGCCCTGTACTCGAACACTACTGTCATATATGTAGGTTGTAGCTTCCTGTGTATCTATCCCTCCTCCAAGCAGGTTCCACATGTGCTTAATATATGATCCGTGTTTGCGATTTAACTTTTAGTCATTGGCTCAACGTCGAATATTTGCATTTTTATCCCTATTCTACCACTGCTACTTTTTTTCCTCCAACTGAACGTTCCTCTTCCGTCCTTCTCCCACTAATTGTTTCGCTTTTTTGTATTCACATACATGTACCGAAAATTTGTTCAGATTTCTGGGCTTTAAATAAACAACAACACGTCGCATCGGGGCCCAAACGTTTTGACTCTTGATTCTCTTTAACTGTTTAGTAAAGTATAGCTGTTGCTATTGGACATTGTGGGATGATGGCGATTCAGCAATTTTTTTACGCATCCCTGAATTTGTTTTAAATCCTTATAATCAAAATGAATGTACATCGCTGGATGCTATGCATATTTTGTTACCCAGTTTAGCAACGTGGAGGTATGCACTTGAGGCTAGTTTCAGTACACATCCCGACTGACGGCTGATTTCTCAGACGGTTTTAACAGTGATGTTATGGTGCTCACAACTAGATTATCGTAAATCAAAAAGCTAGGGAGCAGTGTGCAGCTAGTTCAACCTTGTTCGGTCCCATCACCCCCTCCCCCGTCGAGAAACGATTTCGGAACTCATGTGTACTACCCACTTAACGACTGTGAAAATTGTCAAACGGATTTTACGGTGTTTATACACCGTAGGGCCAAAATCAAATTTTCCGGTTTGTTGCAACCAACTAAAATGGTTCATTTTAGGGCTTTTTACTCGATCGGAAACATTCCCAACCTGATTGCTGAGGCTCTTAAAAGCAAAGGTAGTGTGAACTGCGAAACTGGGAAGCACCTCAACGGTCTCCGTCTCAGTCAGCAGTGTGATATCGACGACAGAGCGGAGATCTTGCTGCATACCTCACAGGTAAATTGCAAACGTACTACCTTTCAATGGTACTTCCTACCTCGGCCACCCCAAAGGAATAGGTTTACTTTTAACAAATTCTTGTCTTTATCTGACAGTGTTCGTTTACGGTTCACACAATAGGATTTGATCCCTATCCCCGTTAAGGTCACAAACCCAAGTGCAAATTATCTGATGTGAATAACAACGAAGCTTGATTATTCTAGACAATTTTCTTTACAGAGTTTCATTCACGATAGAATTTACTTTGCAGTTACAATTGTTGTTAGTATAATTGACGGTTTTCCTTCCCCATTTCTAACAAACCAAAACCCATCATTTGCAAAATACTTTGTTTCCCTAGGACGTCTTGCTAATGACGGGATATGCTCATACAAGTGGGTTTTTTATGTTGGTGGGTTTCTCCGAACTGGCAATGTTACTTTCAAACGTTTCGTAGACAGGCTAGGTGCCATCATCATTACAACTTCGGGGAAACGCTAGTCGCCAGTGTGACCATGCTCATGTAGTTCTGTTCGAGGGTTTGACAGATGCCATTTTGAGGACCTATTGGATTTCATAATTCGTCTCATTTGGCTTCTTGTGCAATTCTGGTCAATTGGTTTACCAGTTGTCCTGACTTTTAAGGAAAACGCATTACAGTATTGCCAAACTTATGCGTTTTTTATACGATTTTGTTCAGGAGTCACTCTGTCGTAGTGTGTAGTTGTATTGCTTGCGTTTGTCTGAGCTGATCGATCTTAGCGGGTTCCCTTTCTGTTTTTCATTTCTAGAGCCCTACCAGCTGCACCAGTCAGTCTTCAGTTTCCTTCGGCCAACGGGACCAGCAAACCCGTGATGCCACTAGCCCGTTGTATTTGATTCCACCCACGAACCCCCCAGAACTAGATCGGTCGCCCACCGTTTCTTCGGATTTGAATCTGATGAGCGCTTCACCACCAGAGCTTTGTTCCAGTCCACCTATTTTTGAGCCACCACCTTTACCCCATACTCTCAACGCTCCTCCTTTACTTATGGCTAGTCAACCGCTGGTTGGTCGACAGCCTTTGTCCTCCGGGATCCATCCATCACCGATGACAACAATAGCCGCTGTCGGTGCAACTAACCATGCAGGAACAGTAACAGGACCGGTGCCATCCACTTTTCCTTCCCCAGGCTCTGCTTTCACCGAACTGCATCCACGCAACGGTTCCATATCTCATCCTCGAGGTTTTCCCTTTCCATCTGTTTCCGGGGACGGGAATTCTCCCCGGACTGTTGTGCAATCGAAGTCGAGTCCGGGCAAAACAACCGCACCTCCGGCGAACACATCATCCGGTGGAAGTAGCCATTCAAGTAGTCGTTCCAGTGCACCGAGCCCGATTCAATACGACGCATTAAGTTCATCAGTATCTAGTGCTCGATCATTCACATGCGCCGTGGTTTATTGTCGCATCTGTGGCCAGTCACATGATCCAACGACTCCTCATCGATATAACTATACCCAAGCGGTTGATGCGGATTTGTGCTGTTCTGTAAGTTATCATCTGACATGTGCATGCAAATGTTGCTGTCTCGATCTGGACTAAAGTACAAATCCAATAATTATCCATCCCGGTCGGATGGCATTATTTATGGTTATATTTATCATTAGTTGGTTAACGCAAGTGATAGGCTTAAGGTTCAAAGTTGAACCATTGATCTGAGTTCCCGGGTATATTTATCGATTCACAGTCGACTGATACAACCAGGACGAAGTCAATAAAGAAAAATTTCCGTTCACGATTGAAGGTGTTGTTCGCCTGTATTTTGTATCTTAACAGTAACAATCTTGAAAATTTGCACCGCGTGAAGCACAACTCGTTTTGGTCATATTTAACCCGTTTAGTGACTACAGTTGTATGTAGTTTCATAGGTTATCGTCACGTTCTCTGCAGCTTGAAATAAATTAAGGTGTATACCAACCGCAAAGCCTCGTACAAGCATACACACACGCGTTTATCAGTTTGTTTATAAACACCGCTTGAGTGGCAGTGATTTCCTCCTTGATAAACGTTTAAACTCACCACATGCTCAAGGCAGAATGTAACATGCCTGGGTTTTGTTGACCGTTTGATCTACATTCTAGTGCTGCGTTCTTTTGAAGTCTGTTGTCGATGAGTACTTTCAAGAGAGTAGTGAGAGCACAATGCAACAGGAATTCAAACTGTTTTTTTTTTTGATCGGATGCCTCATGTTCGATTAAATAGTATGCCTACGAGCATGTAGTTAACGTGTTATCAAATAGATTTTTTCTTTATACGATGTTTTCCGGAGCAAGCAATGGATTACCGATAAACCGATTATAGCCAAACTGACACCAGGCCTGAGGGTTCGATCTTCAGTCGGGTCGGTGAATTTTCGCAGATTATTAAATCCGGCAAGATCAAAGCGGCTGGTCATTTCCCCAAAGTTGTTTAGTTTATGTTTCCATTACCTGGTTTGTGAAGAATTTAATTTAATGTTGGCCCCACTACCACGCGTTTGTCCGGGCACATCCGTGAGCATCATCCTGCGTGTTTGCGAAGTGGAGCAATTAAGTCAATCACAAGTGCCGTCGTGTCGCACCTTGTCGACACTAATCACATTGTAAACGTGACCGAAGCGTTCCGACCCCTGTATAGAGTTAAGACGGGACGGTCTAGACACGTGCGGTTTCGCATTCTAGCCACAGCGGAGGCAGTTTCCATCCGTCTTCACAACCCCCCTCTGTGTGCTCAGAAACAATTTGTGCAAGCACTCAAGCTCCCATGGCCGGATTGCAGACAAGTGACTTGTCATGCAACATCGGAGCAAGTGATAATTGGGGGCCAATTATGAAACAAACTCTTGACTACGTTAATTACTATCCCTCTCTTTTTTCCTTGTAAATCCTTTTCTGATACTGGTCATATTTATTGTGTTGTAATGGCATGATTAAGACACACTGAAAACGAGCTTGTTTGCCAGTTGGTGTCCTCATTAATTTAATTTCTAGATCGCATTTGATCGCTCGTCTGAATGCCCATAAAACAACTTTCTTTTTGTTTATTGGGGAAAGTTTACCTGCATTGGTTGCATCCTGCAGCGGGTTACCTCCGGTACGACTCTCAGCTGATGACGAAACCTCTGAAGTAAGCAATGAAAAGAACAGATACAAAATGGTCAAATATGCTCAACTAATTTGGTCATACGTTGTTAAATTCCTATGCGTGTCCGATGAGAAAAAATGTATCACACCTTATTTTCCCTCGCGTTCGGACGAAACGATATATTTTGATTAGACTCAAGTCCACTCGTGATTTGAATCCTGTTCTGGTCAAACGGTAGCCATACATAACCGTTCGTTTATAGTTCAAGTTAATTGGGGAGAAATTATTCGTGCGATCGATTCTTCCGAAACTCACTCGAACTTGTGACCGGAGCTGTCGTATACACGCTTACCTTTGTTCTTGTTTGTTTTATTTAGTCCATGCGCTACGGTTATTGCATTAAACTATATTCGACACCTGTTACAAGTTTTACGGCCATCTTATCCACGTGCTTACGTAATACTGCGTCATCTGTTTCTGTGGTTCGCTCGTAAAGCAGCTATATTTGGTCTACACCATTATGAGGTCACTAGTCTGAATTGTTTCGCATCTCATCATATCGCTCATTGGTATACCTCAACTTCTAATGCAATCAATCTAGTTAATAGAAACATTGAACCGCTCTCTAACTGTTTGGTAAGTTCGGTTATGTCTACCATGTTGTTAGCATCGTATGATCCCCATTTACTTGCCGGTGCATTGTTTAATTTTCACTGTTAATTTGACCATTTAAAACAAAGTTAAACAACAAAAGAGAGGCGAACATTTCGGCTGCCCGGTATAATTTACTTGATCCGTTTTCCGTCGGGCTAACGTGGTGATCTACTTTGTCTAATCAATTCGGGTTTTTTCGTTCGCTCATTCATCTATGCGCGCTGATCCCGGTCACCGATCTGATTGTTTTCAAGCTATTGGCTGTCCTCCTCTTTGTATTTCCTTATCAAACAGTTGTGCCATCAACCGTTGGTTGAACCTCTCGATACCAAATGCGGTCACACGTTCTGTACCCCGTGTTTAAAAAATCATCTGGCCGTCCAAGCACTTTGCCCTGTGGATCGACAGATTATCAACTATTTGGAATGCCAACAAGCTTCGAATATTGTCAAGCGGTGAGTGTGGTTGGCTAATTCATTTTATTAGCATATGGCTTCACTGTTACCCGGCTCAGTACCCTCGACTATCATTTCGGGGTCATTTTTATTCGGTCCTCTTATATGAACGCGGAATCACCTCGACTTAAAGGTTCATTCCGGCCATTCATCACGTTGTGTTACGTGATAATAATTGTGTATCGATAAAGTTTCTTGTTTGGATAGATTCCAACCTGTCAGATGTTAAATGCTTCTTATGCGAATGTAACTGCGTTATTCGTTGTATATTATCGGGGAAATTTGGGGGCTGAATGACGTACCAGTATGATTTCCAACTAAATTCGCTTCTTGATGTACGTTCGATTCGATTCTCGTTCAAAGGGATCACTTTTTTAGTAAAAGAAGATTAGCCTCCTAATCGATTTTCGGTCCACCCGCTTTGCTGATTGAGAGAAAGAGTGGGTTTGGTCAGTATCTGTGATTAAAACTGCCAAAATGCGATAGTCAGGTGACGTTTATGATCATTCTAACAGCGGAGCCATATTTCCCATCCGAATATCGTTCATTTAGTTTATTTATCAATTGTGAAAAAATACTGGACGTTTTTGTTTCAGGATCACAGTGTTCTCCGGGTGACGAGAAAGCCAAAGCAACCGTTTGTAAACTAGAAAGTGTACATTTTGAACGGTATACAATTTTTTTGTTTCCTTATAGTAATCACAAGCAGCGTTCTAGTGCAATTTTCGAGTGCCACCTATCGGAGGAGTGTCTAACTGAGTCCGATTGTCTAAGGTTATTGTTATCCTAAATATCTATTGTCAAAAATTTTCGTTCTTCATTGTTTGATTTTATTCTCGTATCTTGTCAGATTGTTGGATAAACTATTGGTCAGCTGTCCTCACACGAGGTTTTGTGATACTGTGCTCTATCGAGCCAGTTTGGAAGAGCACGTACGAGACTGGTGTCCGGGTACTCTTGTGCCTTGCGAGAATGCCCCACATGGATGCTCCTATGAAGGCCCCCGAGTTACCCACACTCAGCATCGTTGGCGCTGTCCTTTTCAAACCGGCCTGGCTACTCTGTTTCAACCAATTAATGCAATCCGATCCACAGTTGGCCCGTGTTGTCGAGACATTCCAACGTCCTATCATTCTGGTCGTGCTCTGGCGAACAGCTATCCGGGCACACCGAATCGGTTCGCTCCAAGCATGTCCCGAGCCGCCGGGTCGGCGAGTACGGTCCCCGGCGCAACTCAGTGCCCAACGTTTTTCTCCCCACTCCCTCAACCCCTATCGGATCGTTTGAGACCGTCAGCGTTTAAACCAAAGTTACCAGAGATAGAAGAAACATGTAAGTCTGCTTGTTCATTCACCTTGGTGGCTGGTATTGGTTTCCACGACGGTTCATGTTGCTTTCCGATAATAATAATAACCGAAATGTGGGCTTCATGCTTGTAGAAGTTATTGCATTACAATACAATACAATACAATATTATTCATTTGCATACAGTCATGAATGTATGAGTTCCATGGACCGCTGACCATTAGAAAGGTATCGGTTTAGTCTCAGTAAAACAAATATCGAGACAGCCTCACCATGGGAACGATAACGTGTTTGTTTAAATTGATTGTGACCCATATCCAAAATTATAGCTGACTGATGGAGATTTCGTGAATTTCCGTATGGACTTTGATGAGTGATCAAGAAACAAAAATTCTATATAAACCTTATTATAATTTAATGTTCTCTATCGGTGTTATGATGATATATATGTATATATATGTATATGTATATGTATAACCGTTGTTTCTAGTTTTGGATTTCATTTTGACTAACGAGGCCTGTGTGGACAGACATATGGCAGACTACTCTGACTTAGCCCTGTGTTATTGCCAGAAAGATCCGAGGTAAGAAACAAGTTCAGTCGGACAAATCTTGTCTAGCATGTGTTGTTGGGATGGTGAACGGGGCGTGAGAGAAGAGAGGCAGAGACGCTAAATATTGAACAACATAGATAGGGAAAACAAACAAAGTTAAATGGGTCGATAGGGGTTTTACAGTCACAAAACAACCCACGTATCTATTCACGAGCAGTAAGTAAACGGTACACGCAAAATGTGCATGAGCTTGCAGGCATGTCTATCACTCGCTCAACTGGTTGATTTCATATATCTACTCGATAGGAGTACTTTTCGCTTGTTTTGTGTTATTTGCACTCTATCTTTCATTCGCGTATTTTCTCTCTGTCTCCCGCTTTTTACCGCGCTACTTCCTTTGATTCAGATGATTGTCCCACGATTTACGAAGGCACTCCGGTTTCGGTAGTTATTCGGCGCTCGGCCAACTGTTGTGATCTGGGTTTCACGTTTGTAGGCGGCTCTGATACGCCACTGGTAAGTTGTGAACGCACTTGGTACTTGTACTGCTGTAAGCGGAGACCATTATTTGAACGAATTCCCTTTCCCTCAGCTCCTAGTGCGAGAAGAAAACTGAGCACTGTATGGTGGATTTACCGACGCTGCGTATCAGGGGCATGTTAATTTCGCAACAGACAATAAGAGAACTCCGAGTGTAGAATGGGATTATGTAGGGGTCGTAAACATGCTTGGATAGCATCGTTCTGTAGTGAAATAGATGGAAAATCTTGGTGTTTTGTTTTTGGTGCTTATTTATCTGACGTTTGTAGGGGAGTAAAGTTATGGGTCGTAGACGGGCCTGAAGCGATCCCAGATAGGGAGTTCTGCATATCCAGAAGATGGTATGTTATTTTACATGTCTGCGGTTTTCGGTGTATTTATAGCAATCCCATACCTTCCTCTGTGTTCCACAAATGCTTGTTAGCTTTGCATCATTGAAACGCTCGGTTTTAAATCGTTGAGGCAGTAACATTCGCTACTACCACTTCAGACTTTCTGAGACACTTCGTTTGTCATTGATGGTAATAACCGATGGACGAATGATTTCCACCAGTCTTGCTGTCTTCAAAGTCATAATTCAGAAGTGGGTCTGATGGTTCAAAACTCTTCCCTGATAACTTCGAAGCTAATTGCTGATTGTTTGGTGAATTTCGATTCGCAGAACAACGCGATGGGACTGTTAACATTGTGTGAGTTGAAACACACTGTTCACACGGCGTAGAAAACTTGAACGAACGAGAAGTACTCTTGCTATCCAGAATGACTTTCATAAAATTCGTTCTCCTTTCAATCACCAATAATATTCGATCAGAAAAGGGTAGTGGCGAATTCTGTTTGAACTCAAAATCTTGTTTTTCATGCACAGGGCGAATGCAACGCCACCAGAACTCATAGGGCAGCTACTCCAACCACGGGCAAGGTCAGTTTCAATTTCAGTTTGTACAACTATCAACCATGCACATTCGTATGTCGGTTTTGGTTGTTATCTTTTGGATGAACAGTAGGAGAAAAGCAGAAAAGTTGAAAGTAGAGTAGCAGAAAAAATGAAAAATTTCAGTGGACTAAGGAAATAGAGAAGCGCTCAAACGCCGCGTTTTCCGACAGTCATATCGATCAGTATCTCTAACCACTGGTTAGGAACATCCCGAGGTCCCCAGCCACCGAACCTAACGGGACCTATGTGGCCAAGTCTCCTGTTCGGGGTTTTCAAACCCTTATGTCAGGTTTTACTTTGATAACTTATGACGTTTTTCCACCCCTTACGTGCCTCGGTAAACATCGCGCGCATGGCAATCTATTAGTGACATGCGTAACACTTTCCCCAACCAAAGTAATATACGGATGTCGACCACTTGCTTCAGTGGACGTCCGCGATTGCCTAAAACTCTCCGTCTAACCTCAGCATCGCTTGTCCGTTTTCCCTACCAAACTCGTGCAGTGCGGCGTTGACAGTGGTGTTCGAAGTTCGACGATCCATTTCTATCCCGTTTCCGTAATGACCAAGTCTCACTACCGTATAGCAGCACGAACCGAACTTCTACAGTGGATACTGGATCCTTAACAGACAACCGGATGTGTCGCGTCGGTTCCACTTTTTCAAGTTGGCAAATGCCAATCGGACCTTCTGACTGTGTCGACTTCATCTATGACGCGTCCGCCAAAGGAGATATAATTACCCAAATCGCTCTTCCACTCGCTCTGTTACTTCCCCAGTTAGAATGAGGTTCGATGCTGGACCAAACCAATTTCGTAGCAACATTTTCTAAGTTAAAGGTGTAAAACGCCGTAGGATTCCTCACTTACACCTATTTTCCTGAATCTCCTATTCCTAATTAGACGTAAAAGAGTGCGACTATTACCAATGGCTGCATCTTTCTCCATCTCTTTACACTTTTCTACCACCTCATCTCGCAGTCATTCCTCTGGCTCTTGATGAGCCGGCGTTTAGGGTACTTGCGCTCTTTGTCCAATTTAACGTCAAAAGGAATAGCTTTGCAAGTGTCCAGCAGGGCAGCTGAGGCGGAGGAGCTCCATCGTTTGTGTTTTGTGCATGCGCCACAGTCCGCTGTTGTTTCTATTAATATTTGCATAGCTTCCTTAATTTGCTTCGAGTGTTCATTGAGCCCTTCGGTTCGTGGTTGAATTGATCGGAGAGCTCCGCTTCGAAGGATGATTTACAACTATTACCGATATTCTGTCGTGAGTATTCGTTTCCGGGGGCTTTATTGCAGTTGTTTGCCCAGGGTAGTTAAATTTTAGCTCGTAACAAAGCTTGATCCGTATCCAGGTGTTTACTTGTGAGAGCTGCACTGTTTAATCTATCCTTTCCAGCGGTAACTGATGACGATGTGGTCTATCTGGGTCCATCGCTGTGCGGAGGTTGGCGGTTTACATGTAAGGCATCGACTTTTCTTGTGAGAGCAGTTGGTGCTTGACATGAACTATCTGTGGTCCGCTCAGAGTTGAAGTAGGCGATCTCCCTTGTCCGTCCGTTTCGGTGGGATTATGTGACCCGCCAAAAAGCCTTTCTGATTCGTCCAGGTATCCCATTTAGGCACTGAAGTCTCCGATGACTAATACTACGTCCGTTGATCAAACACTGAAGTAATTAAGAGAGATCCTTGTAGAATTCATCCTTGATTTCAGGTGTACTGCAATCGGTCGGCGCATACACCGATACGACGAACAAGCATCGACGCTTCATTCTGTAGCTGTTGACCCGTGCTAAACCGTTGAGACATGCAGCTCGCAGCCGGTTGTTGATTGGAATCCAGTCAAAAAGCGAGCGGTCAGCCTTGGTACTTAGCGCAATCCCAACACGACCAAAACCCTGAGCGTCGGATACCGAATTGCCGGTAGACAGTAGTCCAAACTGTTGGCTTAACTGAGGATCGGACCCAGGAGGGCACAATCGAAATACACTTGTACTACTCACTTATCTACCGCGAACAGTTGAATAGGCTTATTCAGTTTGTCCATGTACCATTTGGTGTGATCCTGACCCAGTTGGAAACATTCATATTCTATTTGGTGAAAATTCACGAATCATTTCATTCGGTTGTTTGATGATCATGTAATGTACTTGGTGCTCACACCTATTCCCATAACCTTATTGGTGGCGATGATTTCCCTCACGTTATGATTCTCAACCGACTTTGGACACATTAAGTCAGTAGGGAGTTCGGTTTTGGGTAGACTGTGGATCACATAGATCACTCCTATCTCCCTGTCCCACCTATCGGGAACAGTGTCGTAATCGCATTATCGACTTCCGGTCTGTTCTTTTTCCGTTTGGATCAGCATCGAATTTGGTTTATCCCTTAGTTTGACTACTATCCGCTCCAATCCATGCTCGTTAATGACTCACAAAGTGAAATGAATTATTGACGCGCTGTCCAGATTACACCGATGGTTGTGCGTGCTGAACAGAAGTAAAATAGACAACTAAGTTTTCCGTTCGGCATGTGTGTGTGCCCTTACGTTCGCTCGCTCACTAGCTCGCGCGTGCGATAATTTGTTTCATCTTCTCTCTCTCTCTCTCTCTTGTCCATGCACACACATCAAACACTGATGTCAACGCTCTTCCGTTCTCCCTAATTCATCTATCTGATTGGTTCCCTCAGCGCTGATTGTAAAAGGGACAGGTGGTCGGTTTCTGTATCCACTCTGTGTTCCTTTGTACACTTTGTTTGATCTATGAGGCACAATGTGCTCTCTTGCAAAAACTCGGGCTACAACTTGCGCATATAGAAACAGGCAGGTTATAGTTGTAATTAGTCCTATTGAATTGTAATTTTTATGTTTGCACAGCTGCCTCAGTCTGCCTCCGCTCGTTCAAGTTCTTCCTGTTAGCCTATCTGTTTTGGTTTGATTTAATCCAAGTCCCGGGACAATTTTCATCCACTTGTATCGTGCCATGTCTGGAGACATACACACGCACACGCAGTTCAGTCGCCGTGTGGACTNCCCGTTCTCAATAATATACAAAAGAGAACAACTTCGGAATTTTCATATTTTACATATTTCGGACAAATAAATTGAAAGGTCTTTAATCCCATTTGTTTATCTCCTTTGCCTTTGATCAGACGCATGTTAGAGGTGAATTTTTGTGTGCATATTTATCAACCTCTTGCTCTTATGTACAATGAGTGTATAGGAAAGTCGAGGGGGAGGGGAGGGGCTTGATAAAGTGAATCCTGAGATTTAAGCAATGAACCTGGTGGAGTCTGTGTCGATTTGTTTGTTTAAGCTCATCGCTCAGTGCGTCCTGACACGAAACCATCTGCTTTAGCCTATTTGGTTAGTGTTTGCGATTATCAATACTCTGCTTGTTGAGGTTCCGCTCAACCAAGACGTAGTGGATGAGAACCTTTAACGATCATAAACAAATGTATCGGACAACTGCACAATGGTTCTCTACAGTTGCAGGTGACCGAGGAAATTCGAAAATAATTAGAAATATGAGCACAACTGTTTGCAACTGAGATTATTGTCATTATTGAAAAAAATTTCTGTTCAGGTATGACAATTGCTCTTCACGAATAACAGTGATATTGGTCAGACGAGCTCCCACATCAACTTTAGATTGGGTTCCTGAAAATGGATTGAACAACATACTCCTCTGATCAGAAGACGACTAAAGAATATAGCATTCCATTTCGCATTTATTATTATTAATTCACATATACCATTTTTTTGTGTATTGTTGTCGTACGTGGTTCATGGCGCGGTACACAATACTAACCAATCCGAACAAAACCGGAACAGTTGTGCAGTGCCCCTTATCATTCCTTGCGCAGATTCGATCACAATCTCTTTGCCTTTTTATTTTGAGATTATGCTAAGAATCAACGGGAGGACGATTTCAGTTCGTGTGTAAAAACGATAGGAAAAATACCGGTTCTCTTTTCTTGCACCCCCTGTTTGTTTTGGTCGCTTTGCTCACATTAGTCTGGAGTGTCCCTCGTGCAAATTCACATCTCCTAGCTAATAGACAGGGATCTAGGTTTCTACATTCCCGGTAGCTGGTGTTCATTCTGCACGTTCGATCGTCTTCCATCGATTGCATCGATTCGAATTTTCTTTCTTTTCTTCAGTCTTGCATTCTAATCCAAGAAATCTATCTGGATGGTTCAGTCGCCCTGGACGGTCGATTAAGGCCCGGAGATCAGATACTGGAGGTCAGTAACTCTCCTATTTTTCTATTTTTTAATGCATTTCTTGTTCTATGCGATAGGTGCACGCGTGCTGTGATTCACTAAGAACCCTTTTTCTGTGTTATAATAAAATTTAACTTCCAATAGCTAATAATTTCCAACAACCTCCTTGGATGGATAATTCTTCTTTGGATTCACTTGTTTAATATGAAATGGGCTCAGACAGTATTCGCCGACTCGGGTACCCACTTGCTAGGCTATTGGTCCTCTGAACTGCACTCAGTGATTTTGGTGAATGATGGTTCAGTCTCTTCTCAATTATTGT